CATACATCACATCTGGCTTTTGGTCTGTAAAGAAAATACACGTACAAACAAAAAAATACAGATATCAAAATATACTTAACAAAGGATACAGCATGAATTCAGTTGAACATAGCCAGGCCAACTACTCTAAACCTCGCAAAAACAAACATTGACGGTCATCACATTTCAAAGTAATTATATGGTTTGATAAAACAATATTCTAGAAATATCAGACGGAGGGATGGAGAGTATAAAACTAAGGGCACATTGTTTATTAATCCATAGACTGTATAAAAGGAGTGGACTATGGGAGAGTGACGTCACCCATTGCATTCAGCTCCAGTCAAATGAAGCTCAAAAGAGAAATTATTGGTTCATTAATACCTCTATATTTTATTATCATCAGGGGTGTGCAAAAACTGAAAAATCAATATATCACCAAGAGCATTTTTTGGCATATTCTACTAAATTATTTTGTTTCAGAGCTACAGTTTTGTTGCTTTTGTTCACAGGAAGGAAACTTGTATATGCAGCACATTTGACATCTTCATTGTTTTGATGAGTAAAATGTGTGTGTTTCCTGTTAACTTTGAAGAAGAAGTGGTTTAACAAAGCCTTTTAGTATCACAGCCATTATTTTTTATTGAACCATATCGAATCGATTTGAAATATATTGTATTAAATTATATCGAATTAAAAGCTCACTGTATCAAGATATGTATCGTATTGTGGCCTATGTATTGAGGTATATATCATATCGGCACCTTCTGAATGATACCCGCCCTAATTATCATCTTTATTTATTTTTCTTTTCTTGTATTCTTGTTTTAATATTAATTTTATGTAAAAAAAAATAAATAAAAAAATATTCACATAAAAATAGTGGCTTATGTGAAAAAAAGCACTGAATAAATAAATAAAAGTAATTCTTCTGGAGATTATTTAGATGTGAATGTGTGATAAAAATTTAAGAAGATGGCACTATCCATATAGTATAAAGACACTTCAGATAACTCATGTTACCTTTCCCCATTTATCTTGTGGCTAAGTTATTACAAGTGACAATCGTTATGCCTGTTCATGAGAACACTTTAAATAATGGGGATTACATTGAAGCTACTTAGATACAATTTACAAATAGTATTCATTAATTAGTGTTGCCAAAAGGACAAGACTTTATGCTAGTGGATAGACCAAATAAAATTCTGGAGGTTCTGAGCTTTCACGAGGCATGGCTTGTCTATGTATTACGAATGAAATAAATAAACTAAAAACTTTAAAGGTGCACTGTGTAACTTTTCTAGTGGAGGGTCCGTCACTTGCTTTGCTCTACCTGGAATGTTCCACAACATGACATTAAACAGCGTTTCCTTATATATATTACAGGTGAGTTTATAGCTCAAAAATACTTAGAAAAACAGGCATTCTAAATGTGAGCGGGAATGTTTCTCCACAGGTCTGACATTTAACTTGGTCTGATTTGGTCTCCATGAAGTTAGAAAGGTTTAATAACATACTGTGAAACATTCCAGACAAAGTAATAGCATCTCTGTTTCCTCCAAAAGTTACAAAATGCACCTTTAATCTGTAAAAGGCACTTCTACCACAGAACAGACAGAACATTTGTACCTGAAGTCAACATCATGATGCTGCTGTCGGCCTCCGGGGGCAGTACATCCACCAGAGCGTTGCTGTGTTTGTGCAGGGCCACAGACGCATTGGGCTTTAGCAGCTCTCGGTCAATGGTGCTCAAAATACGCACGTAATAGTTGGACCCTAAAAGGAATAAGAGGAGATAAAACACATTACACATTTAAAACACTGCTCTGAACAGAATATTTAAACTTTTATGAGAGTTACTTATTTAAGACACTACATTTCCTCGAAACAAAGCATAAAGTGTAATGACAGCTCATTAATTTTTTATATTTGCCTGCAATTTCTATTAATATCCAAAAGTCTCGTGCTAATAAAGAGATATGGCTTTTTAGTTTTCAGGACCTATTAAAAAGGTGCACTATGTAACTTTTTGGTTGGAACCTGCTTTTTTCTATGGATATGTCATTGCTCTGCCTGCCAATGCTCCACAGTATGGGCATTAAACAGTGATACTTTATATTTATTCAATTACAGGTGGTTTTATAGCTCAAAAATACCCAGAAAAACGGGCATTCTGACTTACTCGGGAGCCTTTTCTCCCATCCATGCTGATAAACGTGGGCGATGCAGACTGTGCAATAATGGCTACACGCAAACGGCCTACCAGAAGTGCAAAATACTTTTTTTTTTTTTCTTTTTTACAAAGGATAAAAAAGTCAGAATTGTATATTACTACCCCATATTATAATTTTCCCCAAATATCAGATTTTTCCTGATACTAAAAATTTATTTGAGCCTGAGAGGGTTAATACCATACTGGGAAACATTCCAGACAAAGCAATAACCTCTCCAGGGAGAAAAGCATTCGACAGACCCTCCACCAGAAAAGTTACACAATGCACCTTTAACATAGTGGAACACAGATTAAAGAAAAAACAGTGCCTAGATCTGTTCAGATTTAAATTAATTAAAGGAGGTCTCTGCACTGGCTTCCACAATTAGGTTTGAGATATGATTTGTTTAGTCAAGGCATAGTTACAAAAATAGTCATAGTCAAATTCGGTCCAACCTGGCCTGGCTTCTGTCCCATTTATCAGATCGCTCCCAATGTGTCCACTTCTTGTTTTCTGTTTTATGATGTGTAATACCACATACTGTGCAGTAACATATGGTGGCATATTTGTATATTTTGATACATTTTTTTCTCCCCACAAGATTATTTAGCATCCAATGTAATCATTATTTGTTATTCATGGACAGATGTAATAGTGTAATGCAAAAAATTTAAGGTAAGTAAGTAAGTCTTTATTTATATAGCGCTTTCACAGACATTTTCTGTCCCCAAAGACGCTTTACACAGCATTATTCAGCATTCATTCATTCACTCTATACCCTGGTGATGGTAAGCTACTATTGTAGCCACAGCTGCCCTGGGGCACATTGACAGAGGCACGGCTGCCATGCCACTCGGCGCCACCGGTCCCTCCGACGACCACCATCACTCACACACCACTTTCATACTAGGCAATGTGGGTGAAGTGTCTTGCCTAAGGACACAATGATTGAACTGATTGTATTTGACCATGACTATCAACTGTTTTATGGAGACCTATGTAGCATGTTTTGGGTTGATGGGGGAAACCGGAGCGCCCGGAGAAAACCCATCCAGACACGGTGAGAAACATGCAAACTCCACACAGAAAGGGCCAGGCGACCCAGGGATCGAACCCAGAACCTTCTTGCTGTGAGGCATGAGTGCTAGCCACTCAGCCACCGTGCCGCCAAGGTAGGTATATATTTTATAAGATGAAGCAAATAAATGATTTTCTATGTAAAATTCTAATTGTTGGTAGAGACACATTGTCAGTTCTTATTGTTGATTGTTGTAACTGTAAAATTTATTCCTGTAAATCACAAACTGCTGATGGAAACTAGCCATTTATCTATAATAATATATAAAGGCTAAACATAACCCTTTCTTGTTAAAGACATATTTCATTATTAGTTTATTTTCTTTGTGGATCATTCACAACTTTGTAGAACATGTGTGAAAGAAAGTACTCAACCAACTGGAAAAAAAAAAAACACTATATTTCTTTTTCCTGATGAAGGGAGAGATAAGATATGACGCTCTGCTGTTGCTAGGTTCCTTGATGTTACAATCAACCTACTGTTTTGATACTGGGCTACAGAAAATACATTGAATTGATAACCCTAAAGATGCATTGTGGCTTTTTTTTTGGTTGAAGGTCCATTACCTTCTTTCTATGGATGTGTGATTGCTCTGCCTGGAATGTTCCAAGTATGACATTAAACAGCTCTTCTTACATTTATTCAATTACAAGTGGTTTTATAGCTCAAAAATTGCAAGAAAAACAGGCATTCTGACTGTGAGTGGGGTTGCCTTTCCACAGATCTGACCTGACCTGTAGCTTGATCTGATATGATCTCTATGAAGATAAAAAGGTTTACTACCATACAGCGAAACATTCCAGACAAAGAACTAACATCTCCATGGAGAAAAGCATTTGACAGACCCTCCACCAGAAAATGTACACAACACTACAGGACACTGTGTGGCAAAGTCCTCTGATTGTTACTGTACCTGTAGTGGAACCAACTATGGCAGTGTTCTGGTCCACAGCTTCTAAGAACTGCCCGATGACAAGAGGGATGCTCTGTATCCTCTTTACCTCCTCTTGAGCGTGGAGGAACTCTTTCTTTAGGTTTTTCTGTTCATCTTTGATGTACTCCTCCTGCACCTCCAAGAACTCCAGCTCCTGTTGTAGTTTCTGTCAGCACAAAAAAAGATTACAACCACATTCACAAATAAATACAAAATTAAGCAGTCTCAAGCAAGCAGTCAACATAAAGCTACTACAGCACATAGCATAGCTCAGCATCTTGTATTTTACCGTTTTGTTTAACTACTTCAGTGCATTATTAAATACCCCTGCATCATTATAAACTACCTTGTATCTCGCATTTACAGTGCATTTTTAAGTACACCTGCGCCATTATAAGGCAAACTACCTTGTATCTAGTGTGTACAGTTTGTGTACAGTACAGGTACAGTGTTTAAATAAATTAGTGTCAATAGAAAATAAACTACCTTGTATCTGGTGTAAAGATCCTCCAGATCTTCGGGTTCGGGAGCCAGAAAGGACAGACCAGTTTGTGGCCTGGAGTTCAACACTGCAGGCATTTCCTCCTGAAGAACAAAAAATAATCCTTAAATAAGAATACTGAATTCTAGTACCATCACAGTAGTGATAGAGTTAGCATAGCATGTTAGCTCAGAAAATAGCATTAAATGTAACACGGGTATTTAGATAAGATAAATGCACCAAACGTCAAATTGATTCTAAACTAAACCCAAAAATAGACGTGATGACGATTTTTTTTTAAAAGCTACCCACCATTATTTAATTTTGCAATCTTACACTAACGCGAGCAGCATGACCTAGCAGTAAAGAATGAATAGGCAGGTTTGGTACGTGCGGTGTAAACAACTGTTCTGAACTTTACACACGCCAAAAAAGCACAAACTAACACTTGTCCAATGATGCTGGAAACGTACAACACCAAATCAAGTCTGTCAAGTCACTCAGAAAAAGGAAAACATTTTTACAAATTCATACCGGGCTCTTTTCTACGGCTACGCAGTCCTCCATGTTGAATTTGACCAACAGACGCTGACGTACTGACGTAAAACGTTGGACAGCGGCGTTAGCGGGCCTTCTGGGTAATGTAGTTCGCCTTATTGTAATATTCTTAGCGCAGGAAATTATGAAGATTTGTGGTAGGCAGGCAGGTGTGATTTTCTCTCTCTCTTTCTCTCTCTGATCAGCACTTAATACATGCATAACAAATGGTGAATCAAATAAAAAAGCAGTTTTTAATCCTATGTTGCGTGTTTACATTACAGCTTAATTTAAATGTAACCCTGCTTGAAAATATTAAAATTATTTAGAATACAGTACTCTGATTGGGACATGTAACCGAATACGTTACAAATTACATTTTAATGCAGGTATTCGGTATTTTGTAACTAAACATACCTACATTTTCAAAGTAGGCTATTCTTCCCATTGCTGACCACTTGGGGAAGCAAACGTACAATTAGCGTACTATTAATTAATACTTTGCAGCTGATGTCACCTTTTTTTACTGAAAATCAAACACCTAAACAGGATCATGAATGCTCATATTGATCACAGGCTTCTGAGCGTTTCTTAAATCCATTTGTATTTTTCTTGAGTTTTCAGACTATCTTTAAACACTAAAGTGTCTTTAAAATGTGTAAAGGCAACTGGAGCTAAAAGTGAAGTAGAAATAGAGAAATTTAGATTAATCTCTAAATATCACTGAATAAGAAGAATCAAGGGGGATTAACAAATGATGGACTATACTGAGATACGAGTGCAATCAGAGCTTGGTTTAAAGAAATATTGCATCTTTTTGTTTTAAGTAAAACAGTTTGATGGACATTTATAAAAAAAATTTTAACAAAATACAGGTTTTTATGTTTTACGTTAACAAATGTTGAGCACACTATTGATTTTTTTTTTTTTTTTTTTACCTTATCTACATATAGACATAAGTTACTAATTATACTTTTTGTGAAGCTCAAATACAATTTTGAGGCTAGATAAGTTGTAGTAGATAAGTAAACTAACTGACATTTCTACCCTAACACTAATAGACTGGTTGTAGTTTATTTTTTTAATTTAAAGTCACTGGCATTTACACTTTCAATCTCAGTTTCTGTTACAGAGCATTTACTGGCAATGTTGTGTATGCAATCTGTGGGTGTGAGGCATGAAAGTATAATATTAATATAATTATTAGAGATCCGGTCTCATGTAGCCTAATGTAAATTTTCAATAGTTACCATGGTACAATTCAAAATCTGTTTTATGGTAAGTTCTACAAAAACAAGAAAATGTTATGAAGCCCATTATTAAAACATATAACTTAATATGTCATGTAAATCTGAAAATGCAGTGATTTTATAGTGAATTATGAACTTATTAACTTATTTTATAGTTTGTTTACTTGCTTAGGCTACACTGTAAACCCAAATAAGTTACCAGAACTCAAAAAATTTTGGCAATGGATTACCTCAATAATTTTAAATTGATGAAATTTAAAAGTCACAATGTTCCAGAACTTAAAAGGTTGGATGGTTTGCTACATGCACCTTTTGATAACAACTGACTTAAAAGTGTTCATTCAGCTCAGCTCAAATATTTGCAGTTAGTTTTCAAACCACTGGAATAATTTTATTTTCAGTTTTATATGTAATCTATGATATTTTGGTGCTCACATTGTACACACAATCCAGTATATCCGGATGTATCTAAACACATTATAGTATACATATAGACACATCATAGTATACATACATTATACACAACATAGGAGGGGGATCTGAACCCAGGCCCCCCTATGTGAAAGTTGTGAAAGAAACTAATTTTTTAATGAGGAAACAACATTATAACATAGATCACAAAATAAGTAAAATGATCCCTGCTAAATAAATTTGATTCTAATACATTTAATACATACGACTGGAATAATTTAATAAATTTTCAGTTTTATATGTAATCCATGATTTTTTGTACACACATTATAATTATACACACAATCCAGTATATCCAGCTGTATCTAAACAAAAGAAAAAGTGAAAGTTTGACTAAAGTTTGACTAATCTAATCTAATCTAATTTTACTAATCTAATCAATATTATATAATAGTTTAATAATACATACATACATACATACTTACATACATCACACTTTATAGTATACACATAGTACATTATACACACATTATGTGTTATTTTTTAACAACTTAATTCTACTAAGTTGTACCTCATCTAAGTTACACTTACTTATACCCACAATAGTTCCCTTTAATAAAAAATAATAATAATAATTAAAATTACTCAAAAAAAAGTTAGTACGATTATTTCTAAACTTTGAGTAAACACAACTTAATCTATTTAATTAGTTTGAACTTTTGGGTTTACTGTGTACTTATTTATGAAACTGAAAATAAGACCCCCTTCCTGCATGTCAAAAGGAAGTAGTCTCCCACACTGACATCTTATATATTTTCACATTCAGAGACAATGACGGAACTGTGTGCAGGTTTTCTGGACTGAGCAATTTAAAAATGAACTGGCTACTAAGGATTTTCCTGATTCATCTCCTAGTTTCAGGTAAGATGCACGGACTGAATGAACTGTAAAATAATTTGTCACTATTTGTCACTGCTAACTGATATAGGCTGTAGTATAGTTTTCAAGTTAAGTCGAGTAGATTCAACTTGACAGGTAAAATGATCTAGCAATGGAATAAGTGTGTTTTTGTTAATTCAAGCAACATTAGACTTTGTTTCTTTCAAGTGCAAGGAGTTTTTTTTATTATCTTAAGTGCAGCAGATGTATTTTCATATTTTAAGTTCAAAATGAAGAAGTGAGGACTTGCAAGTCGTGATTTGGACTCAAGTCAGACTTGAATCACTGTTTGTAGGATTTGAGACTTGACTTGATAAAATGGGCTAAGACTTGGGACTTGACTTGGACTTGAAGGTCATTGACTTGGGACTTGACCCGGACTTGAGGCCTGTGACTTGAGAAGATTTGAGAAGCACTTTTAAATCTGAATTCTTTCTATTCTGACTGTAATGATTCACACTAAGATATTTTCAAGACATTTAAAAAGGAAAAATTTACATTTCTACATCTCTTATCCATCCATCCATCCATCCATTTTCTTCCGCTTATCCGGGGCCGGGTCGCGGGGGCAGCAGCCTAAGCAGGGACTCCAAGACTTCCCTCACCCCAGACACGTCCTCCAGCTCCTCCGGGGGAATCCCGAGACGTTCCCAGGCCAGCCGAGAGACATAGTCCCTCCAGCGTGTCCTGGGTCTTCCCCGGGGCCTCCTCCCGGTGGGACATGCCCAGAACACCTCCCGAGGGAGGCGCCCAGGAGGCATCCGGAACAGATGCCCGAGCCACCTCAACTGGCTCCTCTCGACGTGGAGGAGCAGCGGCTCTACTCCGAGCTCCTCCCGTGTGACTGAGCTCCTCACCCTATCTCTAAGGGAGCGCCCAGCCACCCTGCGGAGGAAACTCATTTCGAGCGCTTGTATCCGCAATCTCGTCCTTTCGGTCACTACCCAGAGCTCATGACCATAGGTGAGAGTAGGAACGAAGACTGACCGGTAAATCGAGAGCTTCGCCTTTCGGCTCAGCTCCCTCTTCACCACAACGGTCCGATACAGCGACTGCATCACTGCCGAAGCTGCACCGATCCGCCTGTCAATCTCACGTTACGTCCTCCCCTCACTCGTGAACAAGACCCCGAGATACTTGAACTCCTCCACTTGAGGCAGGGACTCTCCACCCAGAGAGGGCAAGCCCCCTTTTTCTGGTCGAGAACCATGGCCTCGGGCTTAGAAGAGCTGATCCTCATCCCAACCGCTTCACACTCGGCTGCAAACCGCCCCAGTGCACATTGCAGGTCCTGGTTCGATGAAGCCAACAGGACAACATCATCCGCAAACAGCAGAGATGAGATCCTGTCCATAAATACAATGAACAGAACCGGTGACAAAGGGCAGCCCTGGCGGAGTCCAACATGCACCAGGAACAGGTCTGACTTACTGTCGGCAATGCGAACACAGCTCCTGCTCCGGTCATACAGGGACCAGACAGCCCTTAGCAAAGGGCCCCAGACCCCATACTCCCAAAGCACCCCCCACAGGACACCACGAGGGACACGGTCGAATGCCTTCTCCAGATCCACAAAGCACATGTGGACCGGTTGGGCAAACTCCCATGAACCCTCGAGCACCCTATGGAGAGTGTAGAGCTGGTCCAGTGTTCCACGGCCAGGACGAAAACCACACTGCTCCTCCTGAATCCGAGGTTCGACTATCGGCCGGATTCTCCTCTCCAGTACCCTGGCATAGACCTTACCGGGAAGGCTGAGGAGTGTGATCCCCCTATAGTTGGAACACACCCTCCGGTCCCCTTCTTATACAGAGGGACCACCACCCCGGTTTGCCAGTCCAGAGGTACTGTCCCCGACCGCCACGCGATGTTGAAGAGGCGTGTCAGCCAAGACAGCCCCACAACATCCAGAGACTTAAGGTACTCAGGACGGATCTCATCCAACCCCGGAGCCTTGCCACCAAGGAGCTTGCCAACCACCTCAGTGACTTCAGCCAGGGTGATGGATGAGTCCGTCTCCAAGTCCCCAGCCTCGGCTTCCTCCTTGGAAGACGTGACGGTGGGATTGAGGAGATCCTCAGAGTATTCCTTTCACCGCCGGACAACGTCCCCAGTTGAGGTCAACAGCTCTCCCCCCGCACTGTTGAGAGCTGCTTCCCCCTTCTGAGGCGCCGGACGGTTTGCCAGAACCTCTTCGAGGCCGTCCGATAGTCCTCCTCCATGGCCTCCCCGAACTCCTCCCAGCTCCGAGTTTTTGCCTCCGCAACCGCACGGGCTGCAGCACGCTTGGCCCGCCGGTACCCGTCAGCTGCCTCAGGAGTCCCCCGAGCCAGCAAGGCCCGATAGGACTCCTTCTTCAGCTTGACAGCATCCCTTACTTCCAGTGTCCACCACCGGGTTAGGGGATTGCCGCCGCGACAGGCACCACAGACCTTACGCCCACAGCTCCGAGCAGCCGCATTGACAATAGAGGCAGAGAATGAAGCCCACTTGGACATATCCATATCCATATCTCCATCCTCCCCCGGAATCCGGGAGAAGTCCTCCCGGAGGTGCGAGTTGAAAGTCCCTCTGACAGAGAGCTCCGCCAGACGTTCCCAACAGACCCTCACTACACGCTTAGGCCTGCCAGGTCTTTCCGGCTTCCTCCTCCGCCAGCGAACCCAACTCACAACCAGGTGGTGATCAGTTGACAGCTCAGCCCCTCTCTTCACCCGAGTGTCCAAGACACGCGGCCAGAGATCAGATGACACGACTACAAAGTCGATCATTGACCTCCGGCCTAGGGTGTCCTGGTGCCACGTGCACTTATGGGCACCCTTGTGCTCGAACATGGTGTTCGTTATGGACAAACTGTGACTAGTACAGAAGTCCAATAACAAAACACCGCTCGGGTTCAGATCGGGGAGGCCGTTCCTCCCAATCACTCCTCTCCAAGTGTCACTGTCGTTGCCCACGTGGGCGTTGAAGTCCCCCAGGAGAACAACGGAGTCCCCGGTCGGTGCACTGTCTAGTACCCCTCCCAAGGACTCCAAGAAGGCCGGGTACTCAGCACTGCTGTTCGGCCCGTAGGCCGACACCACAGTGAGAGACCTGTCCCCGACCCGAAGGCGCAGGGACGCGACCCTCTCGTTCACCGGGGTGAACTTCAACACACAGCAGCTGAGCTGTGGGGCAATGAGCAGGCCCCCACCAGCCCGCCGCCGCTCCCCGCTGCCAACGCCAGAGAAATGGAGAGTCCAGCGCCTCTCAAGGAGTTGGGTTCCAGAGCCCAAACTGTGCGTGGAGGTGAGGCCGACTATATCTAGTCGGTAACGCTCAACCTCCCGCACAAGCTCAGGCTCCTTCCCCCCCAGCGAGGTGACATTCCATGTCCCCAGAGCTAGTCTCCATGTCCAGAGATCCGGTCGCCGAGGCCCCCGCCGTCGACTGCCGCCCAGATCTCTCTGCACCGGCCCCATATGGATCCTCCCGCGTGTGGTGGGCCCACCTGAGGACGGCCCCACGTCACTCCTTCGGGCTGAGCCCGGCCGGGAGGGAGGGAAGGCCCGGCCACCACGCGCTCGCTGGCGAGCACCCACCCCAGGCCTGGCTCCAGGGTGGGGCCCCGGTGACGCCAATCCGGGCGACGTAACTGGCCTCGTTGGTACACTTGTCATACAGGGCTTCTGAACCGTTCTTCGTCTGACCCGTCCCCCCGGACCTGTTTGCCTTGGGTGACCCTACCAGGGGCTTGAAGCCCCCGACAACATAGCTCCCGGGATAATTCGGGCACTCAAACCCCTCCACCACGATAAGGTGACGGTTCAAGGAGGGGTACATCTCTTCTATACTCTATAAATACTCATATATAAATATACTGCGATTTTTTAAGTACAATTTATCTTAAAAGTTATAAATTGCAAAAATGTAAGCTATTTTTGGTACTTTGGTTTAAAGACTTGAAATGACTTGAAGCTCAAAGCAGACTACTTGGACTTGCCTTTATTTGACTTGGGACTTGACTCGGACTTGAGGTCAAAGACTTGAGACTGACTTGATACTTGCAAAACAACGACTTGGTCCCACCTCTGACAAAAAGTCTTGCTCCATTGGTAGATCATTTTACTTGTCAAGTGAAATTTACTGAAATCATGATAAAACTTTCTTAATTCAAGTCTTCTTAATATGACTTTTTGTAGTGTTGTTACATTCCACCACTGCTTACAGATACACTCTCTCTCACTTGAATCTTTTATCTTTCAGGTGTGAGCTCAGTGGTCAGTATAGAGCAGCCGTCCACCCTCACCACTTCCTTGGGCCAAAATGTCACCCTTCCTTGTACTCTCAAAATTTCCAGTGACCACAGATTAACCAGCGAGCCTATTCTATACTGGGAGCTTCTGACGCGGGGTCGTCTGTGGCCCCCTTTAAGGAAGGACCAAGGACGGATGCAGCGCCCAGAGTCTGGGAATTGGTCCATACTTTTAAAACATGTCCAATGGGAAGATGGAGGACAGTACCAGTGCAAATTATCACTGACCACGCAAAATGAGAAGAGCTTCAGAGTGAAAGGGAGAGGAACGGAGCTGCTACTTTATGGTAATAGTCAGACACAGTAGTGCCTATAGTTAGCATCACACCCAAAGGTAATGTTGGTGCCATCTGCTGTAAAGTATAGATAGCTATGAAAGGACTCGTTCTTCTTTCAGGACTAAACTAATGTTCCATTAGCCAGGCTGGTGCCACCTAGTGCCTCCACTCAATTTCATTTCTCTCCAGCGACTAGGTCAGTGAAGAGCCATACATTCTGTGTAGGCAACGGTTCCCGAGATTGAGGATTTAAAGCAAAGAGAATGTTTGGTGAATATTATCAAGAGGAAAGACACTATTGCCCTTCTTCCTACGGGATTTAGAAAAAGCTTAATATATCAGTTAGTCCTGTTAGTGGTGCATTATATACGCCATGACCAAATAGCAGCAACAGGTTAAATGAATCAGGCTAATGTTCCATATCATATAACTCTATAACTAATTCGATTTTTGTTGTATTTGAATGTTTTTTTTTTAATAAGACAGACAAAAATATTACAGATTATTATATGTACCAAAACCGTTACATTAATAAAACAGCCTACTAATAATAGCCTGTTTCACATAGAGTAACAGACACACACATACTGTTAACCTACAGTATGTCTCATCTATGTTTAATCATGTTTTCTTGTCACAAACAGACCTGAAGTTGTGTTTTGTTTCAATCACACATGTTTAACACACAAACCCTGTATAGGCTCTATACAGGGTTCTTTTCTCAAACTGAAAACACTCTGTTCCACCTTGTGATGTCACATGGTAATACAAGAAGTGCTCCATTGTGTTTTTAAACTCCATACACCTTCACAAGAATCATTTAGATCATTTCAGCCCTGGAATTGCCAATAGGCCTTTTTCACAACAGCCTGAAGTGCCGCCATGCAGTGTTGTGCATGAACGAGTTCAAAAGAACACGTTCATTGAACATGTTCATTTTTCAGTGAACTTTGAACTGAACGCAACACTTTTGTAAATCAAGAACTTGAACGTGAATTTGTTCAAATTATGTGTGATGAACGAAGTACGTCACTGTTGGGGTTCAGTTAAACGTCGAAATTTGTTTTCACCTGACGAGTGACGATCTGCTCGCACTTCACCTCGCGAAACCACAGCCGCGTGTCAACGCGAAGGCGACTCCACCGGCAGCTTTAGCGGAACGTACGGGTCAATCAAACTTGACTGGGCGCGTTTAGCTGCTTGTATTTACCTTCTGTACAGGCTGACCACGGCAAACGCAAGGATTTCAAAAGTAAATTTCAAAGCACTAATTAACAGTCTGTGTGGATCTGGGCTCTTTCACATGATACACAACTGCCCAGGGAGCACAATGTGCTGATGGTAAATGCACAAATACAACAATAGATACATGCTCTCTGTGGATTTTGACGGGGATACGCGCCTACGCTCGTGTAGAGCGTCAAAAAATAGGATGGATCCTATTTTCTGAAATCTACACGCACAGGATGTGCTGCTCCGCGCGCGTATTATTTTACTTGGTACATATGTCAGTAACGCGCGTCACAATGCTTTTTTAACCTGGACTGAAATGGTGGGTTTTTCGTTTTTCTTCATACAAATTTGCTAAAATCACCGCGATATCAGCAGCGGTGAAACACCGGAGGTGCGCCTGTGTAGACCGTGATCCTGAGCGAAAGGACCGACGCAGAAGTCCGCACTCCACCGAGATAAACGCAGCTGACGCCCGATCGCACTCGGGGTTCTCTCAGGGGCGGTCCTAGATTCCAAGTTCTAGTCCAGGATTAGTCCTGGCTTGGTCCTGGTTTAGTCTTGGTTTAGTCCTGGTTTAGTCCTGGTTCAGTTCTGGTTTAGACCTGGTTCAGTCCTGGTTCAGTTCTGGTTTAGTCCTGGTTTAGACCTGGTTTAGACCTGGTTTAGTCCTGGTTTAGTCCTGGTTTAGACCTGGTTCAGTTCTGGTTTAGTCCTGGTTTGGACCTGGTTCAGTTCTGTTTTAGTCCTGGTTTAGTCCTGGTTCAGTCCTGGTTCAGTCCATATACGGCGCAAAAGTTCAGCATCTTAACAGTTCTTTTGGTGAGAGTAAATTAAAGTGCTGTAATAGTCATGTAATGTTTTACATTTTAAATACAGTAATATTGCAATGTAACAAATTACTTTGAAATGACAGTAACAAGTCATAATAACACATTACAGTTTTAAAGTCACTTGTCCAACAGTGTATCTTGTAAAGTTGTTGTAAACTAGAAGTCAGTTTGAAAAATAAATGCAGCCTTTCATTTACAGATCTCATCTAAATATAAAATGAACTGAACTTTGAACTAGTTCAAAATTAAAATTGTGAACTATGAACGTGAACTATTCACTTTGAACAAGTGTGAACTGAACGTTGAACTAGTTCATGAAAAGTGTGAACTTGCACAACACTGCCGCCATGTAGGGTAAACATCACATACGTCAGTGCTTTTCTGTGGTTAAGTATCTGTGGAAATGTCTTGTGTATTTTCCACCAGCTTCATAAATCTGCCCCATCACCAAATCTTCATCCAACAAGGTCAACAAAGGACATATTCTCTGTCCATGAAGAATTTATCCACAACTATCGAAGTAAGAAAGAATAAAAAACAAGAATTTAAAAAAATGACTAAAACATAAGTAATAAGTAATTTGTAAATAAGTAACTCGTTAACTCAGACTGATTCTATAATTAAAATTTAAAAATCTATTTCATGATGTAGATATTAGCATAGACAGAGAGATTTGTGCAGTTCAAATGCTGCACAGATTACACATCTAGCATTTAAATTGCTCAAATCTCTCTCTCTATGCTAATATCTACATCATGAAATTGATTTTTTAATTTTAATTGTAGAATCAGTCTGAGTGAACAAGTTACTTATGTTTTATTCATGACCATAATGTTAGTTTTGCTCAGGAGTAGTTCACTAATGCTAATCCTTGTTCGCCTTTACGTTTTCATCTTTCTTCCCCTGATGTTTGTGGATAAATTCTGCATTGACAGAATATGTTCTTTGTTGACCTTGTTGGATGAAGATTTGGTGTTGGGGCAGATTTACGGAAGGCAAGGCAAGTTTATTTGTATATCACAATTCGTACACAAAGTAATTCAAAGTGCTTTAAAGAATAAGAAAAACAAAATCACAATAAAAACAAATCAAAACATAAATAATCATCATAAAATTAAAGATTAAAATTTAAAAAGAGAGAGAGAGACATTAATTCCATACAGATTTATGAAGCTGGTGGAAAATACATGAGACATTTCCACAGATATTTTGCCATAGAAAAGCACTGACGTATGTGATGTTTACCCTACATCATGGCACTTCCAGCATTTGTGAAAAAGGTCTGTCTCTACTGAACTAAAGGTAAAAGGTAGCTGTTAACTTGAAAACTACTGCTTCGTGATATCACAAGGTGGAATAGAGCATTTTGAGCTTTGAAGATGACAGACGCAGAGTTACTCAAATGAATGTAAGAACAAAACAAAACACAACTTCAGATATGTTTTTGAAGATTTAATGACAATCCAGCATGGCTTACAGCTCATAAGAATGCATTTTGTGTCATATAGGACCTTTAATTTGATTTTTTCCCTCTGCTTTTTAGATCAAATATTGTTTCAACCCTCTGATCTCAACGCCAGCCTGCTGCAGTGCCAGGTCAATGTGTCCAAGCTTTCAGGGTTTGATCTGTCCATTTCTCAGAGTGGTCAAATCCTCAAGTCCACAGGGAGAAACAGCACATCTTTACATTACGTCACCCTGTTCCAGACCGTCACCCTTCGGAGTCACAGGCCATATGAGTGCAAGCTCCACTTTAATGGGGAACTGGTTACTACGAGTATCTTTCAGGATGAGTCAGGTAAATGTTTTACTTGTTTTGGTTTTGCACAAGGAAATGGCGTGGGATAGATTGTTTAGTCTGACCCCACACTAGCATTTACAACTGAACTGTCCTTGGGCAAGACACTTCATCCACATAATGAGTGAAATAAAGGGTCAATATTAAGCAGAATTGACTCTTGTGAGCTTTAAGCCATGTTAGAACAATGTTACCGCTTCCAAAACATACCTGGAGTTGTGTTTTGTTTCATTCACACATGTTTGAGTAATCCTTTAGTATCAGTCTGTCCAGATCTCCAAAGGTCAAAATGCTCTGTTCCACCTTGTAATGTCATGTAGTGGTAGTTTTCAAGTTTACCTATTAGTTTTTGTGCTGTCCAGATTGACAATTCCGGGGCGGAAATGCTCCAAATGATTCTAGTGAAGGTTTAAGCAGTTTAAAAACACAGTGGAGCACTTCCTGTATTACCGCATGACATCACAAGGTGGAACAGAGTGTTCTCTGTTTGAGAGAACTCAATCTGTGAATGAAACAAAACACAACTCCAGGTTTGTGATGAGGAAACAACATTATAACAAAAATGAACATGATGTATCAGCCCTTTTAGATAAGATAAACCTTTATTTGTGCATCAATGGAGAAATTACAGTGTTGCAACATAAAGGACATAAAAGAATAGCAGCAAAATAAGAACATGCAATCAAAATCAAGTATTAAAATATTGTAAGTATTGCTATCAGATTTAGTGGCCTATGCCTATAACCAGTTAATAAACAAAACTGAAGTACAACGTAAGTACAGAGAAGTGGGCGTTTCCTGGTGGCGGTGAAACAAAGCTTAATTGTCAGTATGTTGTCTTGAAAATAAGTTATTAAAAATGATTCAAACATTCACAAATCACTCCAAATACAACTTCGAGGGGGTAAATGAAAAAGGAAACAGCTATAACATGGGTAAAAACTCTGAAAAGTTAAATTTGCATAATAGGTCTGCTTTAATGGTGTGTGTTTGGGGGACTGGAGGTGGCTGAAGAGAGCACTGGTGCGTTTATTCAGTCAGCATCTGTCAGACTATGACTTTATTATTTCCACAAGGACTAAATGAGTACACGCTACACACTGCAGTGCACTTATTATTATTATTATATTAGGGAAACTTTGTAGGAAGTGTAAAAACTGCTACGTGAGCTGTTGTCCCCGCCAAACAAAGTCAAGTAAAAGGTCCTGTATTATATTAAACTGACCCTGAATTGAATGTTGTTACCTTCTCAAACATACCTGCTGTTCTGTTTCATTCACAATTTGTTTGAGTAACCCTTTATTATTAGTCCGTCTACGTCTCCAAAACTCAAAAATGTTCTGTTCCATTTCAACTCCAGGTATGTTTGTGATGAGGAAACAACATCATAACATCAGAAAATAACATAATATGGGCCCATTAAGTTGTAGACTAGACCATGTTACAGGTTAGATCTGTTTTTTTTCACTTATAAAAGCACTGTAATTGAATAAATATGAAGCAGGGCTGTTTAATGTCATACTGTGGAACATTTTAAGCAGGTGACAGATCCCTAAACAAAACGTTTCATCAAAAGTTGCATCTTGAATGGTAACTTGTCTAATGTAGAACTTTAACAAATTTAGAAAAAAAATTTAACACACTATTCATAAAACAATAAAAGCAAATGTTTGCAAACTCAACTGCACTTCAACTTTGGACAGTTTTCTAGTTTATCAGGGAGTAGGGGCCATGGGCAGGAAACTGCTACAGCTACATTTTTACACCTAAACCACAACTCACCCCATTTCTGTATCATCTTTGAGTATATAACGTAGGTTGACCACAAGAGAAAGGGCATGAAGATGTGGTACAGTTTTACCTTTCTTCTTTTTTTTTTTTTTTTTTTTTTTACAGAGGGTGTAAAAAGTGCATTGTGTAATATGGAGGCAGGTGACAGTTTCCTCAGAATGATGTCTTGAGGTGCTTTTCATCTGCTCTGACTGATTGGGTAAAACTACAATAGCTAACAGGAATAGTAAAAATTTAAATTAGCTTAAAATATTCCTGTAACACTCCACAAAACAAACCCAAAACCAAACTAGAAAAGCACTCAGAGAGCGCAGACCTCCGCCAAAGACTATCCCCATTTTTTATATAAATTGCGATAAAATCTGTCTTCTGGATCAGATCCGGATCAGCCTTTGGAATATGAAAGAGGATCCCATTGTCCATCCCTGAGTCAAATTTCATGGGGTTTGGTCAATAATTAACCGAGATATTGAGAAACTAAATTTTTAGCCCCATTTACCACAATGTTAACTAAAATTTCAAAGTGATCCAGAATCCAGGATTTCTTTCGGATCGACCCCCAAAATGAAATCAGTTTTTCCTTTTCACATTTCCAACAAATCCTGAAAATTTCATCAAAATCGGTCCATAACTTTTTGAGTTATGTTGCTAACAGGCAAACAAACAAACAAACAAACAGACAAACGCCAGCAAAAACATAACCTCCTTGGCGGAGGTAATAACTCTTAAAACCCCAATCCAAAAAACCATAACCATAAAACCTAAACAAACAACCATACACCAAGTAACCTTTAAAACCCATCCATCCATTTTCTTCTGCTTATTCGGGGCCAGGTCGCGGGGACAGAAGTCAAAGCAGGGACACTTCCTCTAGCTCCTCTGTGGGGACCCCGAGGCATTCCAGGCCAGACGAGAGACATAGTCCCTCCAGCGCGTCCTGGGTCTTCCTCGGGGCCTCGCATAGAGGCGCTGGAGACAGTGCTATGCTAAGTGACGCAGAAAATTACCAATACTTTAATAGAAAATATAATTAAGATATTTTAGGAGAAAATCAGTTGAGGGCCAGATTAAAGGTCTTGGAGGGCCGGATCCGGCCCCCGGGTCTTATGTTTGACACCCCTGCTTTAAACATTCCAAAACACATATATTGCCCCATATTTATTGCATTATTGGTTCATTAATAATGCCTCCTTTACATCCAGGGCCCAGCAGCTGTCAATTAGTACCACTGACGTGCACAAGACGTAAATACACTTTTAAAACCAATTATGTGCAATGTCTTTTTTAATATGTGCAAATATGTTTAAAGTGCTGTGTGCTCTCAAATGTGCTGTGGTTTAAAGTGTCTTAGTGAAGGATGAAGGTGCTGCATGTTACTTATAGGTAATAATCCAGCCCGTTTGTTTAGAATCAAACAAAAATACTGTTGTATATGTTTGCTTTGTTTTGTAGGACCCTCTTCGCCAGATGAGGAGTATCACCGGCCTTGGATCTTGTATGGGGGACTAATCCTGGTCCAAGTGGTCTGCCTTTTAGTTATGACCATTGCGATGTTCTATCAACTACTTATGGAGCGTACAATATGTATTATCACCATTAGCTGTCTGTCTTACTGATGTCCTTTGATGTTCCTTTAAAGTGGTCAACGTAACATTTGTAGTGAAGGGTCCGCTACCTGCTTGTCTCCAAGGAGATGTTATTGCTTTACCTGGAATGTTCCATGTTATGACATTAACCATATTCATCTAGCATTTATTCATTATGGGTGTTTCTATTGCTCAAAAATACAATAATTCCTCTTATGAATAGAGCTGACTCTCCACAGATCGGAATTGTAATGTAGCATAGTTCTATAAGCTGCTTGTCTCCCTCATGATAGATAGGTTTAATCTATATTGTGGAACATTCTAGACAAAGCAATAACATTTCCATGGAGACAAGCAGGTGGCAAATGTTACACAGTGCACCTTTAAGGAATATCA